TATGTACATATATATAGATATTTTATATGTAACACTTGGTGGTCAATGTGTGTGTATGTTTGTATCGTAATTGTATCTGATAATATTTATCGAATAATTATGTTAGCCCAATAATAATCAACGTAAAACAAATCATTAAGATACTGGTGATCCTTATAATTACAATTAATAATAGTAAAATTTGTGAATTGATCACTCAGATTGAAGACTTAGTAACATCATATTTAAAATCAATAGTCTAAATTGCATGACCACCAATATTGATAATACTTTATCAGTTTTCACTTTTAAATAAGATAATGGTTGATAATCTTTAAAGTACTGTATTCATTCAAATAAAAACCCTGCTTTGAATAAATTCCCCCTCGAATTAACTCCCCCTCGAGAGCGTAATTTGGAAAATATGCCTCCCTCGAATAAGCACTCCGGGCATTTATTTTTTCCCTGGAATAATCGTTCTCCCTCCCCCACCCCAAAATAATGGCTGTAAACAAATCTAAGAGGAACATCATTCTCAATACATTCTATTAATGTTGTACTCCAGTAAAATTACATTTTTTCTTACCCTGGTTGGCATATTAAGTCTGTATGATCATGCAATAACACATTGTTATGTTAATTATGGGCTGTTTATTTGTGTATACATAATTATTTTATACCAAAATGATAACCCCTCCCTCAAATAAACGCCTCCTTCAAATAAATGCTCCACAAAACCCTTCTCAACAATAAACACCCCAGGGTATATATTCAGATAAGTACAGTATCTGTGATGTGAAATCTTGTAAAAGAATATTGTGGCAATTTTATAGATACAGTAATTTAATAATAGATTATCTATAGATTATCTCTTAAGTAACAATCTAGATTTATCAAGATAACATCCTATGACTTTTGACACGATATTTTCTTCAGATTTGATTTGTATCATTAAGGGACTGATGGTTTAAATTCTGGTTTCAGAGATTTAAATTTTTTTAAAAAATTATTATTAGCATTATAGATTCAAGTATGAGATGAATAATTAAGTTAATCCAAATGGTATTAGTAGAGATTAAGATTTAGTATCAGATTCAGTTAGGTCAAAGTTTATATTAGCCTACACCTGTATTATTCATGAATGCAGATTTTTCTGTTCTGTAACCCTTCTCATCATGACGCATTTTCTATCTTCAAACCCAAAATTGATTTATCTATCCACGCATTTCCCATTCATATACAATCCACTGCAACCCTATTTTTATTTTTCTTATTTCATTGATAACTATTCTATATTCTTCATTTGCTCTTGCATGTGTTTTTTTCCCCTTTTCCTGAATATGTTTGTTCTCAGTTTATGCATGTTTTTTTTTTTCTTTTACCTGTAGATATTGGTTTTCTGTTTAACACATCATTCAATGAATAATTTACCCTGTTTACGTTGTCTTACAAAAGATCTTTTTAATACTATTGATTAAATTTTTTACTGCGGGGGTATAGTTACCTTTGTTACTTTCAACCAATGAGTGTACTTGCGGTCTACCATAATTATGCATGAACATTGCCACATTTGACATTTTCTTTTCTCTTTGTTTTGTTTCACTTTTCATCGCAAAACACAGGCGAAGGATTCGGGCCTCAACACCCTTGTTATGTTGGATGAACAAGGAGGTGGTGAACCTATACAACCCTTTTCTATGTCTTATTTAACCAACTAATTTACTGTACATAGTCTGTATTAAGTAGCTAGTATGTATAAACAGCAGTTACTGGAATTTCTGGAAATGTGGTCGAATGGTTGTTTTTGCTCGTTTTGTATTCAGGAAAGCAAACAAAATGCAAATTACTAAATTCATTTTAACACCATTTAATTAACGAAACATCCAAAGTTTCAAAAATATGTAAATTGAAATTGTTTTCTTCAGAGATTTTTAGTAGCTGATTGCAAAATGCTGCTTGCTTTCTGGATTTCTTGGATATGTGGTCAAATAGTTGGTGTTGCTTGTTTTATATTCATGAAAGCAAACAAAATGCTAATTTGAAAATTCATTACCATACCTTTTAAAATATATTAATATTCAATAACCTCTAAATATGAATTTTGTACAAAAAAAAAGCATTTTACTCAAATTGAAATATACGCTTGCTTCTGATGTTTAAAAGACCAGTTTTCGACCTCAATATGACCAGATTATCACAAAAATTAAGATCACTCAGATTGCTAATTTGATATCTGTTTCCTTGTATACTTGGCTATTCTTTTTTACTAGATTATTATAAGGCAAATGTTGTGTATTACACTGTTATGTTTAAAATGTCCTGCGTCCTACATAGATAAAAAAAAAAACAAAAAAAAACAGTATTTACGTTTTTGCTTGTCAGACGCTTTAATATCTGATTCCTTAACAAAAGAGTAAAACTTGTACTTGTACTTGTACTAATTATTTTCTGAAAAGATAATGGTGCTAATATTTTGTCACTTCAAAATTCTCCTAGATTATAAGCTTTGAAGCTTACAACTTGAGAACACTGTATACTAGTAAGCATGTGTTTCTCGACTGAATATTCATATTATGTTACTTGCAGCAACCAATCACAGATCAGATATTAGGATGTTTTAATTTATGTTTAAAATAAAATATTGTAGTTCCAATATTTCTCAATACTATCTTTTCAAATAAAATGCATGAACTTTATGAAGAGCAGTTATCAACTTGTTACTTTTAAACTTGTCTAAACTGTGAAGACATTTTCTATTATTTTAATGTGGTTGTTGTATAATGTTAACAGGTGTTTTACACATTATATATGACAGTTATATGACAGTTAGCTTTCTGTCCCTCGCACTTTCACTTAGACACTAATCTCTTCTTTTGGTCACAATTGTTCTGTTGGTGACAATTAAAAAGATTCCAATCCTGGGTTAAAATTATGATAATTTGTGATCTTATGCTGTACAGACTGTTGATGTAAAAGTCTATAAAATATCCACACTTAGTACTTAAAATCTAAAAATTGGTATGTTTTTCCAAAGTTAGTTATTTTATTAATTTTTTATTTAACCAATGTTTTGTTTAGGTTAATTCTACCAACTATTGATCATTTTAGGGCCTTCAGTATAATATAACAACAAAAACAAACAATGTATTAACTAATACTAGTTCTTAACTAATATAACTTTCCTTTTCCACCCCTTTCCTAAAACATCAAATTCCCAAATAACTGCTGATAACTTGCAATTTTTCCGCCAATGTATTTTTTTCACTTGGAATTTAATGATTTAGTGTTATAGCAACTGTTTCCGTGGGGAATTCCTTTATAGATATTTATGATTTTTCTGCGACTTAACGTGAAATCCTGTTTACGTTTGAACGCTTCGAATCCGTTTCTAGCTAGAAATAGAATTTGCATTTGTTTTGTTTTGTGCCTTTTTCAAAATCATTCCTTCAAATCTCCTTGTTTGAGTAGTTTTTAGTGTCAAATTTGATGGTTTGTGCTTACTAACATTTAGATTAACATAAATTAGTCTTGTGTTATAATGCGCCCAAATACCCGCACTCCATCCCATCTCCTAAATTTGCATTTAGTGTTAACTCCCGTTTTACTAAACTGTTAAGCGTTATAAAGTGGCGGCATACTAGAGGAAACTGTAATACATTATCCTTCTGGCTATCGGAAGCAGACGTTGATATCTACGATAGAAAATTTTTACGATATTGTGTTCGAGCCCTGAATTCAACTCATTACCTACCGTCTACGCTCGAATGGTTTTGAATTGAAAGACAGTCTTTCAAATCAAATGCTGTATATTTGAAACTGGTTTTAACACAAAATTGATTTTCAATCATAGATTCATTAAAAGAATATTACATGCTTGAAATTGATAGGATGTTGTAGTGTATTCGTTGGTCCTTGGATATAGTATAAAGGCATTGGTTTAGTCACTACAGTTTAAATTACAGATGTGGAAAGTACGCAAATATAGCAGAAATGACATATTTCCTGTTAACTACTGTATGTACTTAAATGCTCAAACTAGGCGCAGATTAAGGAAGATGGTCTGCAAGTTGCCCATATTCAGCCAGATACAGTGCAATAGTTTTGTAGCAAATTTAAATTCATTTAGATTGAGCAAATTCCTTTGGGAATCAAGATTGTATTATATAAATTTATTTTATTTTGCGGGGATAACTTTTTCAAATAGAATGTTAACAGTAACATAGAAGTAACTCTGGAATGGTAGAAGTTATACTGCAAAGTTTTAAAGTAAATGGAGGTTAACAAATTCATCTTCATATTTTGATATTATTTTCTAAAATTGTAATCATGATCATCAAACAAACTTAGATAATAGTTTACTGTCTAAATATCTTCATTTCTAAGTTACATAAGATAAAGTTTATGTTGTAAAGGTAATCATGATGTTCCATCTTATTTGGATAATGTCTTCTATCTTATCATTTGTGTCTCTAAATTACATTAAAGTGTTCATCTTTATTTTTAATGTAATATTTTCTGTAGATTCACAGTTACTAAATTGTAAATTTCAAATATAAAATTCTAACCGTTAACGTTCAAACTGATTTAGATTAGTTTTCTGTTTTAATATCTTCACTTTGGCTTCATTTTCTAAATTTATTTCTCATTATTGTTATTGTCAATTTTAAATGTTTTGTAAGAATATCAAATATTTACGTAGTATTTTATTAGCATTTAGCTAGTTTAGATATTTTCTGTCTTTCTATTTTCTGAAATCATCTCTAAAATCCATTAACGTTTTTATCTCGTAAATGTTATTAATTCTGTAGAATAGCTTTTTAATGTGTAACATTTCAAAGATCTCATTAAGTTACCAAAATGTAATGTACATTTCTACATGTGAATAGATTTACATCTGTGATTAGTAGTTATTCAAAAAGAGGATGGTGGAGTGTTGAGAATAGAAACAATTGCAAAGATATTTTATGAAATTTTTTTTTTTTTTTTTTCAATTTTCAAACTAGTATTCATGATACCTTATTTTTCACCATGTAGTATAATTACCATCATTACTGACATTTTAACTATAATATTCTTACCATTATAACTTATATTCTTACTATCATAATTGGTAATCTTACATCAAATGTGATATTCTTAATGTCATAAACTTGTTTGTACCATCAAACTATTATTCTTACCATAAAAAACACTTAATTTTGTACCATCATAACTGATATTCTTACCATCCAACTGGCATTCTTACTATAGAAATAGCTGTTCTTACCATCAAAACTGATATTTTCTTACCATCAAAACTGATATTTTCTTACCATCAAACTGGCATTCTTACCATAAACCATTATTCTTACTATCATAATTGATATACTTGCCATCATCAATCAAATTTTCATCATTATTCTTCCAGACAATTCCTAAATTATTTCTTTTCATCATACCTATTATTTTTTTTCCCAGATTAGTTTTTACAATCATAACTATCATTAATATCACTTTTTTCATTTCAACACTATTTTTATCCCTAAATTATTGTTCTTTCTTTTCCTATAGTTTCTACTATAACTATCATTATCATTGTTATCAATCATATAAATATTTCTATCATTAGTTCCATTCATTATTCTCATTGCAACCATAAATTCATTTGCATTTCGTAATCATGTTTTTCATTATCATTATTATTATAATGGTCAATATATAATCATTATTCATTTATGATAGTGGCTAGTATTTTTTCTTTATCATTCCATGGTCATCCATTGTTACTACTTCATATCTTTTTCAATATCTAATAATGTATATTTAAAAATTTTATGGTTTACATAGTTTTTATCAGTGTATCTTATTGAGTCTTTCAGTATATTTTTCACCTGGTGATTATTTTGTATGTGTTATATTGTGGTATGACCGGTGGTGATTATGTTTGTGATGAATTAAGTAATTGTGATATATTTACCATTTAACCTGTTATTAGGTTTCTCCATGTCTTAATATTGTCTATGTTTACATTATTGATTAGAAGTGGTGCAGATTGACGTGCAAGCTACAGATAGGGTTAGATTAGTTCATTTTGTCCGGCCAAACTCCACCCTCTTTCCCTTTCCCTTACTGAATAAGCAGTAATTTTCCCTTGAAGCTATTGTGATGAATTTCATTAAATGTTTGTATAGAGAATTAATTCAATGCTTTCTTTAAAAAATCAATCTGCATTAAAAGAAAATTAGCTAATAGATATAACAAAGTGTTGATATCAGAGACAGTATTATGCAAATGATGTTTATTTTCCAGAGTAAGACCAATTCTTACTAATATTAGTATTTAATATTAGTAAATCTTTTCCAATTTCTGTAAAATTAAAGTACATATTGTTTTCTGTTTTGTTAATTTCTTACCACTTTTAACATATTTTTTTGTATACGTCCCCCTAATATGCTATTTCCTTTTCAAATTCCTTCTAATTTGCAATTTCTGTTTGGTTATTTATTACTTGATCTAACCACTCATTTACATGATTGTATATAAGGAACACAGTCATTTGAATTTGATCACACTCTCCGTAAGTGTCAGTCTTCAGACAGTAATATATCAACTTTTAGCCCTGCCTACTTGGCCTACTCTCATCTTGGTAATGCAAACACTTGTTATGTCCCTAGGAACTTTATCGTTGGATTGATGACACCAATTGTTAAAATGACAGGTCGATGTGCTCTTTGTTAATTGCAACGTTATTGATGACTGCTTGATTTGAGGGATCGAGAAGGGCAACATAGATAATGATAGAATAAAGGGAGACATTTTAATGATGTCAAAATGCAATAAAATATAAAAATAATCAAAATAGATATGTATATAAAAATCAAATACTTAAAAATAATAATAATAATAATAATAATAATAATAATAATAATAATAAATAGTAAATACATTGTACATTGGTGAATTTAGCCAGTAGTAATGTAAACTATAGGTTCTACTGCTATGGCACCTTGATATGTTGACAACCCTCTTCTAGCCCTGCATTAAGTAATAAATTTATGTCAAAAAGCTGAATACAATCTTAACTAAAATAGTAAGTACAGTATGTATTAATTTATTATTTTTATCAATTATTTAAAATATAATGTTGTGGAAATAGACCATAATTTCAAAATAACACTGCCCTAGAAAGGATATTGTAAGACACCAAAATGATGATGATCAAAATGGCTTTATGAATGGAATACTACCATATTAATTGTGTTGTTCCAATCTTTATTTTATTCTGTTGTCTTTTGTTATATATGTTAACAACCTAAGGCACTGTTTATGCATTTATACCAAATTTAATTGCATTACATTACCTGCATAGAAATAACTAGGCCTACTATAAAATAGATACAATAAGGATAATTAAGACTACCGTCAGAAAGGCAATACTCAGATACAAAAAAAATATGGATCATAATAAGACTGTTGAGATCATAATTAGAGAGTATAAAATGGGAATGATAATAAGGCGGCAAAAATAAGGATAAATAAGACTATCGTTATGCTTGGTAATGACTATTATAAAATAGAATCTCCATAGGAAGGATAGTAATAATACATGATTTTAAGACTGCTATAAAGATAATAATATTATATGTCTGCCATCATGAAGATAATAAAGATTATGAAAGTAATAATCTCCGCAATGTAACGGCATCTGATGCCTTCTTCGATCAGCATCTTGGCAACAATGATTCCATACAGTATCATCCTTTGTTTTACTTCTCCCAGTTCCATACTAAAAATAAACTGTGTTTCTCAAAATCGAATGACACAAAATCTGAAAACAAAGAATAATAATAATAATAATAATAATAATACCTTATTACCTATATGTATCTCTCTAGCTGTACCATTTTTTTTACTTAAGAAGTATGGTATTTTAATGTTGTTAAGAAGATTTTTATAAATAAATTACTCTTATGCATTTGAATTTTACAAAATGGGTGGAGCTATTTTTACCATTAACATTTTATTTTGTTATTGGCGAGACTTGACTGGAGACCTAAGCCTGGCTCTTTATAATTAATATTTGCTTCACATTTTAGGTGGCCTGGTGGCTGCAAAACAAGTTCTACAGTTCCACATTAGCCAGACAATATAACATTTATTTCAGACAATATAACAGTTGTCAAGTGTAATTGCTGTTTTTCTAAATTCCAGCTATCTACATAAAGTCACCATTTTTTGCAAATGATATTAGAAAAATTATATTACTTTTCCCAACTGGATTAGTGCTTTTTCAAATGGCATGTTCACACACGTATAAACTAAAAAAACTGACACTTGACTTAGCTGTGTGATCAGACTCAATTAATAATGATAAATAATTCATGCATTCCATGGTAGAAATTCACTTCAAAAACATAAGGAAATTTCCTCAAAGCATAAATTTCTATTTCAGTCCTAGTTTCAGTGTTAATTCAGCACCTAGATTTGATAGCTAATTTTCTGTGTACAATTTTGCTCATAGGGTTTTTCTTGATATAGGGCAAAGGAGGTAGAAGCAACATGGAAAATACAGTGTCAATTAATATTGTTAGTACAGAAAGAAAGATATGTTGAAACTTAGAAGTGAAGAGAAATTACAATTGAAATGAACATGAAATGAAGGAAAAAGATGAGAAAAACTATGAAACTATAAAGCCTATAGCATCAGCCTAAATAAGAAAATGGTGGAGTTTTATATAAGTTGCATTGTGTGCCTTTTCATAGCCTCTGTTGTTGGATCCCCATTCACTTCTTGGCCAGTTGATTTGTGAGTTAGCAATTTGGTTAAGTTGAGTACTTTTAGATCATTAGGGTTAAGGCATAGATGTCCCCAATTAGTACGTGCCTTTTAATTCCGGCATCATTATTATTTTAAAGTGAATGATTTGAAGATTATGTATCTATGATGAAACACATATATAATCTGTTCAATTAGAATTTGTATAAAAGATGATGATAGTGATTTGATTCAGGTGTCTATGTTTAACCATATTTTAATATTTATTACGAATTTTTATTGTAATTACTATTTTTCTAAATTTACTACTTCATTACTGCTTTATCACAACTTAACACTGTATTTCTAACAACGGATTAACTTAACTGTTTTTGTCTTTGTTTAAATTGTTTTGAAACCCTGTATCTATTCTCACACCCTTTCTCTTCATTTTCCAGTTTTTCAAAATCGTTATATTTAACAATTGTTTACACAAGGATCACCTTGATATTTTTGATATACCATAATTATTGTTGCAAGCAATGAATGACAAGTTTTTATATTTTATGTTATTTTGCTTGTACATATGCAGTTCGTTTTCTTTATTCAATTGATCTTGTTTTTTGAGATGTTATTTGACTTAGAATTTTTAGAATTGTTTGAGGTTTGTAGCCCTAGAATGAAGAAACCGTTGTGTTGCATGGACAGTTTATTCTCTATCGTTTTGTATTTTGTCATGAAATTGTAAACAGAAAAGTATAATAAGGTTTGACAGTTAAATTAGCAGAAACGAAGAATGTTAATGATTGCTATAGAAACCTAGCCTGTGGTACTAAGCTGATTTAAAATGTACTTTGAGGAGGAATAATATTATGTAAGCTACAACATGGAGTATAATTGAGAAAGGAATAATAAAATGAGTTAAAATTTAAATTGGTTTAATCGATCACAGTCTCTGTTTACACGGTTAAGGCAAAACCCTTTAAATCCAAATTCATTGAAAAGTCAATTTGTTTGTCAGATTTTATATTGAAATAGATTAAATAATATTAAATTTCTGGGAATTAAAGGCAAACATGGATTTCTTCCTCATAAAAAAAATATTAGCCTAAATAAGATACATAATACTAGCTTGATTTAAACATGTTTAGTTTGGTTACTTTACCTTGGATAGAGATGTTTATAACAATACTTAATGAAAACAACCTTTATTGTGTCTTACTATAATATGACGATACAGTAATTCATCATATATTTTCCTTCTTAATACTAACTCCATGTTGATTTTACAAGATAAATAATCTGGATTGAGAGCACAAATTTGTTTTTCGTTTTTTGAACCACAGTGACATGGTTTCTGTATTCTTTCTAGAACAACTGGACCGAATCGAGGAGGGGATGGAACAGATTAACGCCGACATGAAAGAAGCGGAGGAGAATCTTGCCGGTCTTGAGGCATGCTGTGGACTTTGTACTTGCCCATGGAAAAAGTAATAGCCCGAGTGATGACATCATTTACTTAATTTGAGAACACTTAGGACCTTCGCCGGAAGGCCCTGACAGGGTTTTAACTCATGGGAGTTATACTCTAATATTTTTTAATCTGTAAAAATAAGAATTGCATGTCTTTCATTATTATCATTCATTCTTCTTGTGCTTAGAATCTTCAACTTTGAAGGCGGTGAGGACTACAAGAAAACATGGAATGCTGACAGTGACGGGGCAGCAGGTGGTCAACCAATGCGTGTGGGAGATGACCGGGACGCCTGCACGGCTAACTCATCTTATATCACAAAGTAAACAATCTGCTACCATCCATGATATCCTCCTGTAGGAATGCATTAGTTGTAGTTGTCAGTGTCTCAACTAGCTTCCATAGGACCCACAAATTTAAGCAATGTTCTATACCCCAATGGAAACTATCCATCAGTTTTGGATTAATTAGGTCGTCCTGAATCCAGTGGTTTTTGTATTTTTATGTATTTGTTTTTGGATTTGATATAAAAACAAACAAATAATTCTGATGATGGTGATAAATACTTTATTTTAATCACAAATGCCATGTTCACTTACAGTGTTTTTTCCAGTTCACCATCCGATGGACCCCACTTGAACTGTATTCAGGCTGAGCAGTTCAGGCTGGGGAAGCACAACCTATAGCCATAATATCGGCACTGGTTTGAACAGCAAGCTCACCTATGGTTCTGCAGGTGGAACAAGTCTTTTCGAATAAGGATAATAAACCATACGTCCATTGTACACAATTGGCCCATGTGCACTATGAAGAACCCAGTACATCTTTTGAGACGAGTATGGGGTTACCCTGGTGTACTGGTCTACACAGCCCCTCTTGTGGACGGATGAGATTGGCTGATACCGGTTTACCGGGCAGCTCAGACACGAGGAGACCTAGGGGAGAAGAAAGTTACTGAATAAGCTTTGAGCGCTCTGATCTTCATGAAATAAAGCTATATAAATGCTGTAATGTATGTATTATTATTCACACCGAAAAAAAAAATCCAGATTAATAACCTGCTATGCTGTTTCAGAGGTGTATTTTACCTGTTAGGTAGCCATTCCCTTCATTGGCAGTGTTTTTAATTGATATTTTTTGAGAATTTGAATTAGTAAATAACTTGAATTGATGATTCTTATTTTGACATGTTACAGGATAACTCATGATGCCCGAGAAGATGAAATGGACGAGAACATTGGGCAAGTGCATTCCTTAGTGGGAAATCTACGCCATATGGCCCTTGATATGCAAAATGAGATCTCGGGACAGAATCAGCAAATCGACCGCATTAACACTAAGGTAAGGTTCCCACTGTAATATATACACTGCAGTCCTTATACATTCACATTATTTTTAAGATGATCCAAATTTTAATGCCTGTTTAGTCATCCTGGGCCCTCAAACCTATGGTTGGCTGAATCATAATAAGAACTCATTGAATGCTGCTTTAAGTCATTATAAGTTCCAAGCAAATCCAAACACATTATTATTATATTAAAGGTGAATTTACTCTATGAAATTTTCTCACATATAGTAGAAAAATTAAATTAATTATTCCAAAATAAATACAATGAAATTCGATTATTACTTTATGAGGTTCGATCGATTAATTCTTGTAGCGCCCACTCTATTCAACCTGATTCTAATCTAATTTGGCCTCCCTTATTTATTTTGATAACTACGTTATCGATATAAATGTGTTCACCCATTCAGGGTCATGTATTAAAGACACTTCAAATTATTGAATTTTGATAGACACATGACACAAACTACTACTCTGCAAATTAATATTAAAATGGTTTTAATAATATTGATTAAAAGTATAGGAAGGAAAAAAAAAAACTTCAATTTAAGCTTAAATATTATTATGTTTCTGTGAGACACAAGTACAAATGATTCAATTTTTGCTAATTTAATTGATCTTTATATAAAAAAAATCTTTAAATTGATTGTTAGCTAATTTCAGGTTCTATGCAAAGAGTATAGGAACAATATCGTAGTTGCCTTTGTTAATTGGCAAAGAAAATATTTCCGCGTAATTTCCAAAGGACAACAGCTGATATTTACCTTACCATTTTTCAGCAAATCAAAAACACACATTTTCAATAATATAAGGGGGGTAAACAAAGAGAATACTAACAAAAATTTGAATTAATTCTAGAACTTTTGGCATTTTACATACAAAGTATATGAAAACAATAAGAAAAAGATGTTGACAAAATATTCACAATATAGACAACAATACCTAAGATCATTAAAATTGAAAACTGAATAAAAAAAAAAGAAATATTTAATAAAATTTAAAAAAAAATAAAATAAAAATAAATGAATCATTTTTTGATCTGCGCCTTCAGTTTTCCTGTCATCACCTCATTTGCATTATTCAAGAAATATCCATAATCGTAATTGTACTTTATTTTGCTGATTTAAAATCATGAATCAGTACTCAGCATCAATTATATAAAAGATCCTTTGCGAAGATACTAGGATCCTTCTTTTTGGAATGTATCATTTACATTTCTATCTTGTCTTTACATATCATTAGTCTGCCTTTTTGTGGCCTGTTCTTATCTGTAATTAATCCATTAAAGTGTCAGATCTCAATAGTTCCGCAATAAAATAACATGAGCCTGCATAAATACTGTCAAACTTTAGGCCAACATGTGAAGGCTGCTTGCATTGATACTGAGCTCCCTATTGAATCGCTGTGTAGTAACGCATGATGTATTAGATCTGCTCACACACCTACTAAAAAAGGGAATTGACACAGGTAACTATGGTAATTTTAAACTAATCAGCTTGACCTTCAACAAACATAAAAAAAAAAGCATTAACTTTGAACAGTCTAATAAAAACATTCCTTATCAGTTTATCGTGACAAGAAAAATATATGTTTTGAGTTGTTAACATTTAGACTGACAGTAGGTTTGAGACAGCCAGTCGGATATATCTTACTCCCTGTTTATTGCTTCATTGAAATAAATATTCTCCTCTCCCCTTAATCTTTTTATATATTCTTCATTCTATAACATATCACTTTAGACTGTGACTTAAATTAAAATGTTCTCATTCCCATAGAAATTTTGTCTCTGCTAACAATATCTCCCCATCCCAATGGATATTTGGCACACCAAACAAAAATCCCCTTCCCATTACTTGATCACTAGTGAAGATACCCCTTCCCACTACTTGATCACTAGTGATAATAAGATCAATTTTTTAAATAAAATTAAGTGAAAGAAATGCAGTTAGACAGATACTTGTCAAAAATGGATATCATTACACAGAATTGAATTCTCACACAATTTCACACAAGTGATGATATATGTAGCATATACTTTCTAATAATTTCTCTCCATGCTAAATTTAGCATGCAACAAAATTAAATTTTCTTAGTGATTGTGACATCCAACCCCCTTTTCTAATCAACTTCATTTATAAACTTGACCTTTAAAAGTGACAGATTTATAAAACAGTATTTTGTCGAGTGAAAAAAGTGTTGATATTGATGCCGTATCCATGACGTCTGAAACATTTTTTTTTCTAAATTTTGACACATGTTGAGATAAATGTTATCATATTGTAGATTATATTCTGTGCTCATAATATGAACACATAATTAATGATATACATAAATAAATGCAGAAAATTCAATGAAATAAATTAATGATGCTAAATAAAAATTGATTGAATACTAAGCATTATAATTTTAAGATATGTGTTGTCGGTGTTAAAATCTGGAAAGACCAAAATAGAAGTGCATTGAAAACAATAGATTGAAAGGATAAATTTAGTTTACAACCAAAATACCAAGATCAAAGGGAAACAAATCAATCGTCACTGATCTACAGGGTTTTTACAAATATCCGTAAGCTAAGTCAGCAGTCAATTTGTGGATCTGCATAGTTAATACAAACAGTATATTTTTTTCATCTACTAGTTGACAAGAAAGTTCAGTACTGACCAATTTCCCATGTTTAATTTATTTGTGGGTTTTTATGTTTCTGGATTTTGATATGTTCTAATGTTTTTATTATGTTTCATGATATTTTTAGTTTCCTTCTTTTTTAAAGTCTCTGTTGGAAAGCAATAAATATTGCTTCACTTATATTTCTTAGATATTTATTTCTCCGTAATGGATGGGTTTCTCAAGTTGTGTTTGTTATGATTTTGCTATGATACAAAATAGCTTTTCATTATTTATCAAGTGTTTGATCCTAAAGAACAGATTCAGTAGGTGGTGAGAAACATGGGTTTTTTTGACATAATAATCTTTCACAATAATTGAGAAAATAGTTTTCCAGTTTTAACAGTTTTTTTTTTTGCTTTACACTAACCTTACATTTCAAATGTTTTTCTCTTTTCTCTGCTTCCTCTCATCGTTACCGTCAACAGGCGCAATCGAACGTGGGCCGCATATCGGTGGCCAATGAAAGAGCAGCTAAGCTACTTAAATAGAATGCCGCTTCAAAAATGAAAGGCTAATTACCCAAGCTTTGCAACACAACAAGTGTCAACGAAAATACATATTGGTCAAGTGACCATGCATCAAGAATAATGTCGCATTATATATTTGATTTGAACTAACTTATAGCAAGGCCTTGTAGAACCCCAACATACTCAGTTCCAATATGTGTAGCATTTAGTGGTAATTCAACGTGTGATATTTCCTATGTTATATTACCGTACATAGAAGAAAAATTAATAATACTGTATGTACTAGAACAGAAGCAAAAATCTACTGTATAAAGTTAGAATTATTTTTGAAATTTATTCCTGCCAATGAACAATTTACACCTTTCAAGAAATGTGTAATTTGTTATGTACAACACACACCACAATTACATTGGAACTGAGTTTGGTTAAATCTAGAATAGCCACCTTTTGACTTAGCCTGTGCACCAGATTCCCCCCTCCATCTAAATAGTGTTATCGTAGTTTAAAAGAGCAGATATCTTGCAATAGGACATAGGTAATTCTATTTATACTTTGAGGATCATCATATCCTAATAGTGCACATAGTTTACTATATGGTTGTTCTTGAAATGGTCTTTTAGAACAGAGAAGTACAAGATTCAATACATATTTATGTTTATTTGTGTTGCCTTCCAGTTGTAAACATAATGTGGTATAATGCTTTCAGTGTGGTGTTACATTCCTATACTATCATTTCACGCCCACCTTTAAAACAATCTTGTCAAATTGTGCAATATTATTTTAATTGATAGAGCATTCCAGCGAAAAATTAAAAGTTTTAGGTGAATGCTCCTTTGGCTGCAGGGGTATTTTCTTTAATTCTATTCGGTGCCGTATTCACCATCTTATTAGGGGTAATTACAGAGGAAGGGGAAGGTTAAGCAAACATAGGGAATACAGTTTGAACATTTGTCAAGCATTAGCTCTCCTTGATTAACCATCCCATATCCTCTAAATAACCATATCCTATGACATCCATAATGTCATCCCATCATATAAAGAGTTTTTAAGTCCATATAATTTATCTAACTTTAACTTTTTTCTTTTAAAAAATCTATATTTATTTAGTCCCTTTGTGTGAACTTGTCTATTTTAATTAATATTTAATCAAATGTATTTGTGGCATGCTCCCACAAAAACTTACTTTTTTTTGAAAATTTAATTGGTTTAATTATCACGTTCTCTGTTTAGTCAGCTTGATATATATAAAACAAATTTTGGGTTAAGAACATCTTTAACATATAGGTAGGCAATTATATGATACAGTATTAGCATTACTAACATCCTTAAAGTGTTTATGATGCATATGCATGGCTACACATGAGTGGTTTAACATGCATACCAAACATTACCTAAACATCTAAAGGCAGGTTATAAAAATTGAAGCAAAACTCGTAGCTTCCAAATGTCAAAATTTCTTCACATGAAATATTTTTAATGAAGAAACTTCAGTCGGAATCTCATAAATAATATTTTTGGGCCTGACGTTGATTTTCTCGAAATGTCAACCTGCAACTTAGTTCATAGGTTCATGGGAACATGTCACATTTACGATTTACGTCAGTGAAAAATATGTGAGGGAGTGTTTTTATAGACTAAACATTTGATTATTGCTGTATACTATGTCTAACATGGCTACTCTTGTATTATTATTTCTTATGATTTTGTTTATTGTATTATTTATTGTATTTTCTTTATTTATTGTTTTAAAAAGTGGTGATAGATAATTAAGAAACTATTTCCTACCTAGGTGTATTTTGTCTCTATAAAATCCAATTTCTGTTCTCTGGAATTGGGTTTTCCCCATCATTTCTTAATTCATTCATTCCAACTAGCCTACCAACATTTAAGTTAAATTCAGTTAATATGTCTCTTTATTTGGGTACAATGTAAGTGTAAATAATATATAAAATTTCATATGTTTAGCTGTTAACATTTTAGTTGATAGTCCTTTTAAAGATTATAAGCCTGGTTGTACATTATTTCGTTTATTGTAGCTTAGGATTTGTTCAACCAGGCCATATAGGTACAGTAGCAGTATTATAAGAACAAATGAAGACTTTATGTGCTATAGAAGATGATGTTTTATGCTGTGTTACTTTTCCTCTTGAGCTTGAACTTAACATCACCCCACTCTCGCGTACTCATGTTGCTATCCCTGTTGCTTATCCCTCTACCCCTCAGCCTGCACCCAACACAGACATAGCCCTTTATATTCCTCTGCTTTCCACCATCCATAAGGTACCTAATGTCAGTTAACATGCTTAACGATCAATTTTAAACGCTGTATCTTTTGTTCTTGTGTAGTTCGTGGAAATAGTGCGTTGTATTGTATATTTATAGATACAGTATATATGTATATAGATTAAGTTTGAGCTAGTCTGATAGTCTAAAGTTGCTTTAAGATGCTTTGACATTTTAGTTTAAGATAGACAAAAATTTTGTTTTGCATTTGATTTTGTGATAATATATACCAGTGAAAGCTTTGAATATTTAATATTTTAACCTTTATTATCCAAACTACAGCCTTTTAAGCCATATATTTTTGTTTTCAAGTGTTATCCTCAAATAGGTTGATTATTTTTTAATTTTAATAGAATGATTATAGAATAATAAACTTTCAAATTATTTCCACCGCCAATGTGATGAAAAACATTTCTTCATTCTCCCTACATCCTGATTGTTTATACAACTATTCCTGTAGAAGAATGAAACTCCAACCATTCACAATGTTCATGTTTGTATCATCTATAAGTGCATGATTTATCGATATTTTTGATGTATATTTTGCATGCTATTAATCTATATTTTCCTATTTCTATATGGTTTTATTTTCAACATACTTGTCGTTTTAAAGCAAGTCTCAAGAAGTAGGCTGCTCTCTGTGTCTACTTAGCGCTAGTGTCTGCTTATTTCAGGAAGGTTGATACTACATAATTATTTCTTCATGTTTTATTTTACTTGATGTAGTAAATTTTCTGTGCATTTTGATTCTTTATATTTTTCATGTCTTTTTGTTACATAACCATACTTACTGAATTTTCTGTTGATATTTTCTAGGCCGCATCCAACAATGCTCGAATAGAATTGGCAGACAAGAGAGCAAAGGATATAATAAGAAAACAGTAACACTAAAAGAATGAAGACTGCCCTCTAGTGACAGAACTGTTTCAAATGTTGTGTTTTGTGCTAAAATTTTCTACTTCAGTTTCAAAATGGTTTAATCAACATAATTGAAACAATTTTGAATATCAAAGAAAAAATGTAAAACTTTATAAAAAAAAAAAGATTAAAAAAATTATTACAAGTATAAGTAAAGTAATAAGTAAATCCCAAGTTTATTAACTAACGATCAATATTTCAAAATCTATCAAAAAAAAATCAAACAGCCAATAAATTTCAGAATTTTGGCTACTAAATTTGGGTAGCATTGATTACCAAATATTGCCAAATACCTGTGTATTTATTGAAGCCAAAGTATTTTACTTTTTAAAAACTTGGATCCAAGATCCAGTATACATTAGTTTTTAATGCTGTGATGTTGAAATTACTAAACACTGTTAAAATAAGCAATGGCTTAAATAATTAATATATGTTTTGCCAAAAACAACAAGTTAATATTTGATTTATGTATATGGTATATTATATCCATGTATATAAGTATATGTATATAGATATATATATGTATATATACATATGTTTATATACATGTACATGCATAAATTTATATATATATATATATATATATACATATATATACATATGTATGTGTATGTATATTATATGCTTATACACATCTAGATGTGTATAAGAGACAGTTATTTCGTTTATTGTAGCTTAGGATTTGTTCAACCAGGCCATATAGGTACAGTAGCAGTATTATAAGAACAAATGAAGACTTTATGTGCTATAGAAGATGATGTTTTATGCTGTGTTACTTTTCCTCTTGAGCTTGAACTTAACATCACCCCACTCTCGCGTACTCATGTTGCTATCCCTGTTGCTTATCCCTCTACCCCTCAGCCTGCACCCAACACAGACATAGCCCTTTATATTCCTCTGCTTTCCACCATCCATAAGGTACCTAATGTCACCCCCCCCCACATTTGGACAATTTGCCCTACCATAGGTTTGCACATATAAAACTATGTACACCAAAATCTAAAATAAAGAACTTATAAAAGAGAATTTGGAGAACTGATTAAATTTCAAGTTCATAAGTCCATTACAGGGTGAACTTGGAAAATAAAAAAGCTTTTAGGGCAAATTAACCATCTGTGATCCATGGCTTTAAAGTGAAGTGTTTTCATTAAAGCAATGTCTGCACCAAGAATTGGTATTAGGTGACCAATTTTTGGTTGCTATTTTAAAAAATTGAAATAATATAATCTGAATGGGTAGTGATTTACGAAGCTGTGTGTGATATAATTGGTTATTAAGAACAACTGATATGATTGGTCAAAAACAACAGCGGATAGAAGCTGTTATATGATTGGTTATTAACAGCTGATAGATCCAATGACTAACACCAGTAATACATAGTACTCTAGATCAATATTGAATGTACATATCGTAATCAAATTTAAATATATAAATGTTACGGAATTACAGTAGTCTGTTTTTTAAATACTTATAAAATTGATGTAAATGATAATTATATACTAGTATTGATAGTAGAAGTTTAAACATAATATTAAGTAACGTAGTGTAATTTAATGCACTTAGCATTCCACAGAGCCGTAATCAATTTTCAAGACTGTAAAATATCTGAATAAATATATTCAACTCTGATCACAACGATCAAGATTCTATCAAAGTAGTAATTTTAATGGGTGGAATTACAATGTCAAATCTAAATTTTTGGTTAATGCTTTAACATGTTGAGTGCACGCTATGAATAAACTTGCATTATACAGTCAAACTGTGCACCCCACTATTAGCATTCTGGTAAACAACATAAGCCTTTTGTACTTTGAATTAAATTTGCTTTGCGATTGGGTCAACAGGAACATTTGTGATAGTGCAAAGAAGATCTATTACTAAAAAATATTACATTGTTTATAAATTTGTTATCCCTTCATAAAGTTTGAGGCTGCAAAATCTCCTATGATTTAACATGGGCCATTCTAAGTGGTAGCCATCATGTTAAATTTATCAAATCTACATGTTTTCTGTGACAAATATTTGTGATCTGCCCATATATGGCCATGATGGTGCCATATCACACCCATATATGGACATGTCATATCACATCCATATATGGCATGGTGTTGTCATACCACACCCATATATGGGCATGATTATGTCATATCACATCCATATATGGACATGATGATGTCATATCACATCCATATATGGATGTGATGATGTCATATCACACCCATATATGGGCTATTCACATGTATTTATTCATAAAGCTTGACAATGTAAACAAAGCTGTAGATTTAATAAATGAATTAATGTCTTTGAAGACCATTTAGTTAATGTCTCTAACGGAAATGACACAAACAAATGAGTTTTGTTGCCGGGGACCAAACATTTTGACACGTTAATCATATTAGTCACTAAGCAACACGATGATTACTTGTAACCTGATAGCTTTAGATAATTAAATGTCGTCTTTCATAATTGGATGGTGTTGTGAAATTGTAACACGGAATGCTAGAAGGTAGAAATAATTTTTTTAATATGTCCATTGTTTTTGAAGGTTTTTAATTTTTTGAAACTGTCAGATGCTATGGTATTCAATATCATTCAAATACTAAGTATTGTATTTCATCAATATTCTGTATGTTATGTAACTAGTTTTTTTCTCATAAAAATGTCTTATTGTCATTATTGACAACTTTTTTCCAGACGATTATTAATAAGATCATCTGGAATTTATGTGTGCAGTGTTTTGATCGATTTCTCGACTGACCAATCAAATAACAGTAAAAGTCCCACTGTTCTGTATTTGGTTCTCATTGGCTCATTATGAAGACGTCCTAGTCTTTGAAAACATTGGCAAAAATAAGATGTTTCTCAGATATTAGCAGAACGTTGGAGACTACTCGGTCGGGACTATATTTGCCAAATTCTGAATTGAGCCAAACAAAATTCTGAATTGATTAAGAAAAATGAAAAAAATATGATTTAATCGAGTAAAACTTCAGTTTAATAAATTCTATATTCATCATGATTAGCATGTCATTTGCATGTGATTGGCATGTCATTTGCATGTGATTAGCATGTCATTTGGTTACGTCAATCAATATTAGGTTCTGTCCAGACTCAGATTTTATTTGATAAAAACATGTGACATGGTCATGAAGACATCACATCATGACCATATATAGGTACATCATGACTAAATATGGTCATGATGACATCACATCATGACCATATATAGGCACATCATGACTAAATATGGTCATACAGAAGTTTTTTGTAAAAAGAAATTTGATAGTCTGGACAGAACTTTGCATATCGATCAAGATGTTGTAACATTGACTGTAAAATAAAAAAATAAATAAAAAAAGTAAAACAGGCTGTGATGGTATACTCTGACATCTCTATTGTATGTTTAGAGAGTTTTTTTTTCTGTGACATGTTTGTACATAGAGTACAGTATATTGAAATTCCTAGCTAAGCTTTTGTCAGTTTTACCTTAACATATGGCTCAACCATGTCAAAATATCCATCATGAATCCAGTGTTTCAATCACAATTGTATCAGTGTTAATAAAGATTCGATTATACAGTTTGTCTTCTGTGTAATTTCAATTTTTGACCACTGAATTCACACAAAACTGTTCCTAGAGTAATAAGTTCATCCTTTCATTAATGGCAACAATGATAATGACGATGATGGTGATGATGATGTGGGCAACGATGATGTTGATGCGCGTCTCATATTAATTGGATAAGAAAAATTCTTTCACATTTTCTATTGAGAGCCAAATGTACGGTAATAGAAAATAAAAAGCAATTAAAAAAAATTCGCTCATTTAAAATTATCAAAGAAATGCTTAATTCTTCCAGTAAATAGTATCCAAGAAAATAAGTTTACACTAACTTACAGCCCTTTTCACTAGTCCTATGGAATCATTAATTTTCAGCCAGTGTAATTAAATAGAAATGAGTTATGTGGGTGAAATTATAGAGGGCGGCATACAGAACACTAACCTAAAATTCAAAATTTTCCCCTTATTAGTGGTTTTGCCACAAAGTCGTACAATTCGAAAATAATGAAATGATTTTTTTAATTTATTTATTTTTTTTTTTATTTCTTTATTCTTTATACTGGGAAAACCTTTTCAGTAGCATATCTACTGTTCTCCCACAGGGCCCAGTACAAAAGTCAACAATAACATTCACAATTCATAAAAACGAGCACTGACGTAAACCAGAAAAATACATTAACATCCAGATCATAACATTTTTTAAATTGTTAAAATAATAAAAGATCAATACAAACATTTAAAAATATATTCAGAGAAATACAACAGCGTACGTCTCCCCCCCCCCCTCTATTTTTTCGCAAAGAAAAAATTACACCCACAGTGTTCTACTCCTACCAAAAACACCCTAGAAGAGTGCTATCCATTACTCAATGTTAATATACAGTAGCGGATTTTGTTGTTTGACGACTTTTTTTAACAGATTTTGGATATTAGTTTTCCTTTTTGCTGATTTTGTGATTTTTATGTTCAATGTTGCTGAGAAACATGTTTTCTAGAAGTGAAATGTGTCTTTTGAAATGGTGTACATTTATGAGCCTTTGCATGTTGTCAAACAGTGGTGGCGCCAGAGGGGGAAGCAATGCAAAATTTCCAAAATATAGAATTTCACTTTCAAGAATGAGGATTTTAAAATAAATTAGATGGTTACATTGCATACTCTTTATTTCCTGTGCTGGGCTTCAAGGGGGTTTCGCCCCCTTCGACCACCACCAGATGCCTAAGGCTGCTCGCTTCGGTCGCAGATTACACCCCTCCCCTTTTTTCTGGCAGACTGCATCCGCCCATGCCCTTGGTGCTTCGTACCTTGCCTGGTCCATCTTTACTTTGTTGCCTCTCCCCCCCCCCCCTCTTTTGCTAAATTCTGTATCCGCCCCTGGCGGCAGTGGCTTATCTATGGGTGCGCACTCATTCCCCCAAAAAAGTTTGTGAAGCGGGTTGGGGAAAAAATTGATGGCTAGTTCGGGCCATGGACCTGTCATGTTAGGACGATTTAGAGACATGATAAGAGTGGATGATCTCACCTACCTAAGAAGGATCCACAATGAAGACAATAATATAAACCCAATCAGGCAATTTGATCCAAAGAAATTTATTAAACAACGATAAAAGATAAAAATGAAACACAAACCTTCGCAATTAAGTTAACGAACGAAGGTACAGTACAGTAATATAATAATTTTATTATTTTGACAAAAAAAATGCATAATAGTTCGCCCTCTAATTTGAGACCACCTTTTGACAAAAATTCGGGTGATCTCTGGACTCGATCTCTAATCGTTAAATTTGTGTTTAAAGAATGAAGATTATTATTTGGTTCTTTGAAGAGGGGTCTCAAAATGGAGGCCACTTATGTGTGACAACTAATATACAGTTGCCACAATGTAGTACATAATTATTGACAATGTGAATGCCAGTCAAAATAAATTTTTCCCAAATACTCATTATTTTAAATTGTTTTGTCCCAGACCTCTCGGTGGTGGTAGGGTTGGTTGCATACACAGTGTTAAAGATATGTTTTTAATCGTTTCGTGGAAAAGTTTTTCTTAATATGGGGGCGGGCGGGGATATCATCCCTGGCTTGGAATGTTTCCAATACTACTATTAATCACATCATGGCGCTTCTTTTTTATGGGAAATGATAATTGACATAATTATTGGGAAAAAAACAACATTGAGCTGCAACAACATAAATATGCGTCTCAATCATCCTATTAAATTGTCTTTAATAAGCCTACGAAACACGAGAGCTCCAACTTTCCTTCCCCCTTGTATTTTTTTATAGCCTACAATTAATTAAAACGATCTGTTTGGCCACTGGTGGTTTTTTTTACCTGTATTGTAATAAACCATAAATTCAAAAAAAAAACGGCAACACTACACATAATTAGGCCTGTGTGTAAAACATATATTGGCTTACATGACAACAATTTTATTTAGTCATGTTATCTGTAGAACATAGAATTACATATCGGCTTACAAAAGTGTAGTATTTAATTGTTAAAATGTTTATGTTTAAATAATAATAGGCCTACTTCCCTCTATATAAATTAAAGAACGTAGACGAACGGGTGGCAGTATAACTTGCAGCTCATTTTGGGCTGCTGTCTCTCCTGATTGTATGGGAAATTCACTTGGTGCATGTCCTGAAAATATCACCACCAGCCCCACTGACGAATCTTCTACCATGTTTTTCACCGACGGTGGTATGAGATGGGAACACAAAGAAATTTGTCGTTTACTCTCTCGATTCAAGGGAAATTCATTCCTTGTCACTGCAATGTTTTTACTTTACGTCAGGAAAAAAGCCTTGTTTTTCCGAAATTGCTCAAGTGTCATACGGTATTCCCCCGACAAGAATATTCGTGTCTCTGCTGGGCCATTCTATGGGAAACAGAGATTCGGAGAAAATTTATTTCCTCTGACGTTTTTACCCGACGAAAAAGTTAACATTCTCTCCAATGAGAATAAGCTGGTTAAAAAAATGTATAATTATAGGCTTATGGCACCTCTAGATGACTGGAAATCGCATTCTCAGACTTTACTTAAATTTGAATATAATTTTCGTTCCTCTCAACTGTTTTGTATATTTTGAAAAAAAAAGATTAAGGGGCGCGGGCCGGCTGGGAAAGGCTTGACAGGGCCCCCCACTCTTTTGGGAAGTTAAAAAAAGAAAGAAAAAGAAATTATTTGGTCACCAAAACAAAAAAAGTTCCAGGGGCATGCCCCTTTTGGACATCCCTGATATCTACCCCTTAATAGAAAAATGGCCGTGGTCTGAGGTGCTCAGAACTTACTTCACCCAAAACAAAAGGGATTTCCTCCCCCGACGGGACGGAGGATGGGTGTGGGCAGCCATTCCAGACTGAAAAGAAAAATCTGAATGTGAAGTGATGATCTGAGCAAGAATGAACTGGACTTTTTATTATTATTATTATTTCAAATTTGACCGTGGCGCGCCCTAGTGGGAAAAGTGATTGGAATAAAACTGTTTTTCTCCTCAGGCTGAAGATGAACGTATTAATAGAAGTTCGAATTACAGAATCACGATTGATTTGATCACTTCTTTGGAGTTACTTCAAAAACGATTCCAGACAAAATTAAAATGGATAAACAATTCCCCTTTTTTTGGACACATGGATACTTACAATACATAATTTTACAAAAATTCTTACAAAATAATTTTTATTCTCCATCGAAGCGTGTCCGTGGCTTTTGTGACGTATAACCAATGACACGATCGGATGATGCATGATTGTGCCAATCCTAAATTCCCATGCGCGTGAGCCGGTGCGATACAATAGATCCAGGCTGCAGGGTAGACTTAGGCCAGACTGGTATTATAATCCTTTTATTTGAGGTTTGTGCAGAGTTCAGTGGTGTATCTTTGATTTGAGATGGGCGGTACCGTATCTAGAGACGATTTTGAGTGGGTTTACACCGAAGAACCACATGTTTCAAGGCGGAAAGCAATATTGAGTGAGTTGACTAGGCCTTGCCCTGGGTTGGGTAGGCTAAGAAGGGCCTTGCTTATTATTATTACTAATACTACTAGTACTACTAGGCCTACTACTTTAGGCCTACCTAGAGGACCTAACTAACCGGTACGGTGTACTGGAATAAAAACTTGGATTTATTTTGATAGCTTAGGTGCTTGTCTAAATAACAACTCCTGGACCCTGGTATATGGTAAGTGCAGGTGATAGGATTTTGGCTATTCTCTCATTTTCTGCAATCATGATGGAAAACTACAAATGTCAAATACATAAATATAGGCTATATAGGCCTAGGCATATTATAGTATTAATATTTTTTTCTCCATTCATTCATATAATAACGACAATATACTGTATTGTGTAGATTTCCCATGTGAAATAAATGAATACTGATTACAATATGTTGACCTTGGCTACCGTAGCAGCAATTTTAACACTTATGTTATGCTTGTGGTCATATTCTTTGCTTTTAATTAAATTTGATTATTGTAAATGCTAATTTATTTCTGTCCTTAATCCTTCACCTGTTCAGTTGTCGTTGGCTGATCCGATTTCATGGAGAATACAAAGGGACAGGGCATTCGCAATGGATTTTTAAATTAATACCCACTCAGCAGACAGTGTCACACATCCAGGTGCACACAAATGTGTCCCCCACCCTCACTCCAACCCATTTTGGTGCTGCCACTGCAAACAGTTACGCCCTGAATATAAAACTCACATTTTATTACTTTTGCTAGATGTAATGTCAGTGATGATATCATTGCAAATCAGTTGATCAGATAACATTTTCACATTTGTTTGAACAGAGTGCAAACAAGCTACTACTGAGTATTGTATGAGAAACAAATATGCCCACATGATCAAAATTAGTCTAGATTACTGTAAAGTACAATTGTTATTTAGTGATTATCACGATTGACAAGATTATAGTAGTATATATAGAATGAATCATTGTTATTAAAGCCCCATTCCCGGCAAAATTTCAGTTTTTAAGAAAAATCTAATTTTTGTATAATGTTATAAAGATTTATAAATATAATACGGAATTGCTAGTTTAACTGAATTTAGACATTCCTAAACATGAAAAAAATGTAAAATAAGACTGAAATTAAATGCGGATGAATTTTTCATTTTGATTTTGCGATAGGTCGTGAGAAGAAATATCGTAGCCGCCGAAAACAGGTTAGGCCTAGCCTTACCTCGATTTAGGTTCTGTTATCACACATAAAAACGGCCGACATGATATTTTCCGTTGCTAGTATTGACACTTGTGAAATATAAT